TACTGAAAATGTGGCAATGACCTTTCCAGTAGCAAAGGGCAGAAAGTCAAAAACTCCCTTATTTTCCATTGAAAATGAGGATGCAGAACATGTTGTGAAATGTTTGTTTTTCACTGTTACTTTGTGCCTTGTCTGTCTTTTTTTTAATCTCTTATGTTCATTCACAAACAGGCGACATCATGATTGATTACACATATGTGGAGTGCACCTCAGCAGTTATGCAGGCTCTGAGGCATTTTCAGAAGGTCTACCCTGATCACCGTGCAGAGGAGATAAGGTATAAACACGTTGTTTAGAGGTATGCTATCTCCTAAAACTGTTTTCACACGTGCACTGCAATCTTGAACCCTTGTGCACATGACTCGACAGACGGGCAGGTGACAGCAAAGGCTGGACATTAGCTACACTTACTGCCATCTTTTCTGCCCTTTTAGCTCCCTCTCATAAACCCATTGGAGCAAATGTGTCCACAGTGTGAGATTCTTATTTAATTGTCCAAAGTATTAGCAGGGCTTAAACTAAAGCTGACCTAATAAAATGAGTGTAAAACCAAACTGTCTTTTTCTGAAAATATCTTGAGCATTTGTGTTTTCTCAGTTGTCGCTTAAGTTCAGGAGGATCCTCTGAGTTTGCTGTGTCTTCTTCAGGTCGACTCTGAGAGAGGGGCTGGAGTACTGCAGGAAGGTTCAGAGACCTGATGGATCTTGGGAAGGGTGAGGCCAAAATTAGAGATTTATTACTAGATCTCCTTGGTAGATTTTATATATGAGAGCACCCAAATCCAGAACATTAGAGACAAATTTGTAAAAAACAAACAAACAAAAAAACAAAATAATAACATAGACATGAAGTTTGTCAGGTTTAATAAAATCAGCTAAGCTCAAGTCATTTATGTGGTTCTTCAAAACCACAAAGGAATTAGATTACTTGAGATTTATTTATTTGGTGTAACCGTGCATTGAACTGAGAAATTACACTTTGAAAGAGAAAAAGTTTCAGTGCTGTTGTTACAGAAAAAATTAAAAACACATCAAGTAATGACCAAGTACACTGAAAGACAACAATTTTATTTAAACAGCACCAAATCACAACAACACCTCAAGGTGCTTTATATTGTAAGGTAGACCCTGCAATAATACATACAGAGAAAACCCAACAATCATATGAGCCCCTATGAGAAAGCACTTTGGCGACAGTAGGAAGGAAGAACTCCCTTTTAACAGGAAGAAACCTCTGGCAGAACCAGGCTCAGGGAGGGGCGGGGCCATCTCCAGTGACCAGTTGAGGTGAGAGAAGGAAGACAGGATAAAAGACATGCTGTGGAAGAGAGCCCGAGATTAATAACAAGTATGATTCAATGTAGAGAAGTCTACTAACACATATTGTGTAAGGCGACTGAAGAAGAAACATTTATTGCATCATGGGAATCCCCCAGCAGCCTACGTCTATTGCAGCATAACCAACGGAGGATTCAGGGTCACCTGATCCAGCCCTAACTATATGATTTAGCAAAAAAGGAAACCTTTAAGCCTAATCTTAGAAGTAGAGATAGTGCATGTCTCCCGAATCCAAACTGGAAGCTGGTTCCATAGAAAAGGGGCCTAAAATGTTACTAATGTAACTCTTTATTCTCCTGGACAGACGGACACCACAGACTTTCCTGATATTCCTAAGACAAAATGATGAACAACTAACATGAATCAGTAGCATGCAGGTGCAAGTGCATTAAAGTGCATTTGTAAAAAAAACAAAAATTGAAAAGGGGAATTCTGACAATTGAGGAATTCTTTATAATTTGTGCTTCTGTTTGTTTAATCCTAATTGAAATGTGAAAGAAAAACTATTACACCAACTTTCAAAGCTGATCAGGTGACAGAACGGTGCAGCTAATGCTTGTGAACAACAGGTGAAACTGATGACCAGAACATGAAGTTAAAACAGACAAAGGCAGGAAGTAAAATGATATAAAGGTGTGCAAGGAAAGCTCCAACTATACTGTGAACATGACTTTTACATTCCTGTCTCATTGCTTAGGTCCTGGGGAGTCTGCTTCACGTATGGGATGTGGTTTGGCCTGGAAGCTTTTGCTTGCATGGGTCACGTGTACGAGAATGGGTAAGATGTAATAACTGACTTTTATACACATTCTCCTACGTTTCAAC